AAGTTCACATTAAAAAGCAAAATACACACAAAAAAGTCCGCTAAAAAGAATTCAGCAAACTCCTTCACCAACAACAGTAACACTTGTCTACAATATACACCTCAATAACCTCTAAAATAAGCTTTAGTCTTCCCTTAATGAGCGACTGCAAGGAGCACTCAAATACTAATTACCTATTCCTAATTACCAGAGCTCTTAGGAGTAATCTCTGTATGTGAATGCATTTTGAAAATTTCCAAGTGGAAGTAATTTGCCAAACTTTCCAAGATTTTTGCCACAAATACAGACCTGAAAGTTCGTCAAGTTGGCAAATTTCCAAGGCGTTTTAATCTCACGGAATGTACGACAGGTAAACCCGTATTGGTGAATTAGCGAATAATCGTTCCTTCGACCTTTCCTTTTTGTGAGTTATAACAGTAGTAGCTGTTTATAGAAATTAAAATAGACAGTTATGTGGTTTCTTTCTAGCTTTGCTTTGAGCATTTCAGCGGTATCTGATCATGGTGAGCAGTGCCACTCATCAGAAAACAATTTAACGCATCATGCTGAAGTACTTGGGTTTTGCGAAGTTGTTGAGCTGGCTTTGAGAGGTGGGAATGAAGGAGCTATAAAAGGGGTGTTTTTTTGATGGAATCTTTAAGATGGAATTAATTTTTGGGCATTGTTGATGGATGCTATCGGGTAATGTTAAAACTTGTCAGCCGGGATACCGCGCTCTCCTGAAAGACCACTTGAGTTTGACCGTTTCATCTGCAGTACAAACATTTTTTTAGGCTAAAAATATATTTTTGTTATTGCCCAACAGCTTTCTCAAATATTTCACTTTACTTTTTTACGCATACAGTGGATTTTTTAAAGGTGGAGTGTGCAGTAAAAAAGATCTTTTTTTAGGCATACAATTTGAGACACATGTAATTCACAATTTTTTTACCGTTTCTTTTCCACTCTTCTCTGACCGTCTAATATTATATTATATTTCACTGGAAGAGTTATTTTTATTAGAAGTAAAATTTATTAAGTTATCAGAAAACATCAGCATTGTGATGGGATTTATTTCATTTTAATCATGAGGTTCAGGTTGATTTCCAATTAGCGTACATGCTTCTGAAATTATATGATTAATTCATATCTCTTTATTTTTAGATTGATTATTTCTAGAAGATCAAAGATGAGCGCTGTTCAACCACTGAAGGGTAAAAGGAAATTGATAGACGATGTTATGGAGAAAGAATTGACAAAGAAACTGTTTGGTAATACGGAGCCGTCGAGTGAATCAGAAGGCTCGTTTAGTGAAAGTGGAAGTGAATCCGACGGTGATATTTCTGAAAGTGGAGAAAAACTGGATGAGGTACACTCCCATCTAGTTCTTTTTATTTTTCCCTTTATTTTTTGATGTCTTTTTTTTTTCTTCAGATTCAAGAGGCATAATTTTGAACAGTTGGACTGATTGCCAATTGTGAATTATTTTTGCATTTTAATATAATTTTTAGGGTCATTTAGAACTATGCTTCAGAAACTTTTGCTAAAAACATGTAATTTCTTCACCATATAGTTGGCCATAAATGGAGTTCCTCTGCGTTTAGAGAATTTTCTCGTTTTGCAAGCATTTTAGTCGCCTCAAGGCCTGAAACCAGTATGGAATGACGAAGATGACAAGGAACTTCTTGTTAATTTGCCTGCTGGAAGGAAATGGAACTTTTTACGGAGGGCAACTGATTTGGAAAGTGAAAAAATTACTGCAAAGGTTACTTTTTATCACCAGTTATAGTGAGAGGATCAGTATTGGAAGTGCTTATGACTTTTCAATTCGCATTGTTTAAGGAGTATGAGGGGCGCTTAAGGGAAGAATTTGATCGAACTCAAGGTAAAGCAAGGTCAAGCTTGAAGTGGGCTACTATAAAGGAAAGTTGGTTTTTTATTTTCCTCGTTCTTTTACTACTATGATTTTTTCAGTTTCAAGTACTTTTTGAAAATTAAGCTCTCAGGTTAGTTTCGAATGGTTTCTCAGGCTTATAAAGTTAATGACGTGTTGTTGTTTTTACTACATGGACACATTTATTGATTTTAGGTGCAGATAATGATGCTGGTGCTGGAAGTGACGATTCTGACTTTGATGGAACTCAGGAGGCAGTGAACGAAATAGCTGCTTCTGCTGGAAGGTATGTGACGAAGAGTGATTTTTTACCTAAGAAGATTATTAATTTTAAGCGCATGAACGATATAACTCGAGGTCATCGTGCAGAACGGGTTAGTTTCTCTTCTGTTCGTTACATTCTAATAAGAAACTTTGTGAAAAAATTCGAAATGTGGTATTTTTTGTATTACCTTTCGTTTTCTATCTATCTGGCCTTCCTAGCTCGTAAATGAATGGTGGCTTTATAAATTTCTGTTTAGAAACCATTAACTGCTGTTCAGTTTCATCCTTCTAAACCCGTACTTATGACTGCTGGTGAGAGTGGCGTTGTAAACTTATTTGAGGTAATTATTGGTAGGCAGTAAGATTTCTTATTTTATTTTCTAATGTTTTTATTTTACATTTATTATAATTTGTGGTTCTGCCTGAAAAAGCTCTTTAAATTTGTTCAAATTTTTCAAATTATGTGGTTTGATCTTTAAAAGGTTGAGTACACGACTTTCAGGTTGGTTTGCCAGCTTCAGAAGAGTCGTTTATACAGTCTACCCAGTTCGAAAATTTCCCGATTACCACTGCCAGACTTTCTAGTGATGGAACAAAAGTAATTGCTGGATCTAAAAAAAGGGTATGACAGAAATATGTTTGCAGAACAGTAATTTTTTCTTTCAAAATATAATACCACTTTTTTCCTTCTTTTTTTTAGAAGCACTTGTTTTCGTATGATCTTCTCGAAGGGAAGGTAATTCAGCTTAGAGTTCCTAAAGGTTGGTATCATCTTGATGTTTAAAATTTTATAATCGGTCAAATTTTTGAAAGAGTCGTCTGAAGAATAAAGTTCTTTTCGGTTTGTTCTCTCTCCTCCTAAACTGGAAATTACTTCACTTTCTGTGATCTTCATTTATATTGTTCATTTTCGTTGGAAATTTTTATAGAAGTAACAAACATGAATCCGGCTTCGTTTGCACTTTCTCCTGATGGAAAATACATCGCGATAGTTACTCAAGCGGAGATCAATGTTCTTTCTCTTGCTGTAGGTTTATTCAATTCTATGCACATTTTTGAATTACTTTTTTGATTTTTTAAACTACTAATTAAATTGATAAAACATCATTTAAGGAATGAATCTTTTTTGTTTAGACTATGGAACTTATTGCCGTTTTTTTGGCGTCTTCTGGAGTAAAGGCTTTGCAATTTTGCTCCTTATCAAATACTTTATACGCCTTGACCGGTCAGTCTCCTTTAGTATCGTAATTTTTTTGCATCGTTCTTATTTAATCATTGTGGTAGTTTCGAGTTTGGTGACGAAGAAGTTTTATTGGTATTTTAGAAACGAGTGAAGTGCAATGTTGGGAAATTCGCAGCTCAAGTCTGGTTAAAAGCTTTAGAGATGATGGTGGTGTTCGCGGCTCAACTTTTCAAATCAGCGAAAATAGTCAATTCTTAGCTTGCGGGTGAGCGCCTACACGTTAATTTAGCTTTTTTAATTTTATTTCACCGAGACTGCTACTACAGTAGTTTTTGCTGCAAAGCTATAAATTTCCAGATCAAACACTGGCATAGTGAACCTTTATCAAATGAAAGATATTCAGTCATCAGCGTCCCCTGAGCCCGTTAAAGCTTTTGACCAATTGACGACACAGATTGATGATGTTGTTTTCAGCAAGGATTCGCAAATTTTATTGATTTCTTCAAGTATTAAGGTAATTTTGAAGCTTATTTTGAAGTCTTTCTACAGTATTTTTCGTAGTAGCCGTTGAGTCGGGTGCCAGCGTTTAAATTGGCAAATGCTTTGTATTTTAGCTACCATTTTAAATTCCTGAACAATCATTTTTACAAACTCAACTTGATAGCAGTTTTAAAATTTTTGTTAATTAGAAGTTTTCGCCGTGATTTTAAAAAGTTACTGGATAAGGGTTTTGTTTTCAACACTTCATGTTTGGTACTCTTAAGTAATCACTGTTTTCTCTTTGTCTCAAGAACAAGTTTATTCAATTCTGTACCTTTAAGAGAAATGCTGTTCGGTTGGTCCATACTCGCTCTCGTACTGTTTTTGACAATTTCCCTTGCCGCACTGGAAGTGTTGGCAATGTAAATGTGTCAGATTTTTCACCTAATGGCGGCTATCTGGCTATTGGTGATTTGGATGGTATTGTTTCTTTATTTAGGCTTTGTCATTTTGGAAGTTATTGAAAGTATTTCAAAAATAATTATGGTAGATTTGGTCTTTTTTCTTGACTTGATGAAGATTCTGGTATAATTTGTGTAATTCAGATCATACTGTTGTTTGTTTGCTTGTTGTTGCGTTTTATTTGTTGATTTTTTTTAAAACAGTGTATCTGTTGTTACTTATGATTTATTAGAGGATGGGTGGGAAAAAAATTTTTTTTGAGAAAAAAAATTAAGTTTTTTTTTATGTTTTGTTAATACAGCAGCGGAATCGAAGCAGTAGTTCTAACTTTTGAAATTTTATGTTGTCGCGTAGTTCTTTAATAATTTAATAGTTGTTCGGACTTTTAAAATTTCAACTGTGTCGCAGTAGAAAGTGTTAATTGTTGTTGTCTCATAAACTTTTTTCTTTTTCTTTTTACTTTATTGCCTTTGTTTGTTATACGTCTTTTAGGGAAGAGTCAGAGACAGTTTACCTCAGTGTATTCGTTTGAAACTAGCTTCAAAGTGATGCCAGATTCAAAATGTTATATGGTTAATTATGATGCATTAACCAGCAGATCTTTGTGTGTCTCGAGCTTTCAGAAAAATAGAGCCTTTCAGATGACAGGATTTTTTGTTAAATTGAGAATCTTTGCAATAAACATACGTTCGTTATCGTAAGACAAACACATTTGATCTTTCCGCACCTGTCGAAGATTTTTGACTCCTGAAGAGTAGACAAGTTTTGGTTTGCATGCGGAAACATTTCAAAAAGTTCAGTGACTTTAAATTTTCAGGAAGCAGTGGTCGTAAGGTTGAAGGTTTAATGGAGGGGCTGACAGAGCAGTTACTCAAGCTCCTTTTTATCATTGTGTTGCAGCTTGTGCTAATTACAGGTTTTTTGTTAGTCTGAAGTAGAACTGAGCTTCACCAGTTCAGTGAACTTGGATTTGTTCTTGCGTACTTATCATTAGCAATTTCAAGGAAACTAGGATAGTAGCCAACAACAATTTTCTGCGTGACTTGCAGGCGCTTATAATGAACGACACTGGCAGCGATAACGCTTTAGTGTGCTTACTGTACATAGTAAGCTTTCTGCTACGATGAGGACTGCACTCACTTTCTTGTTTGAATCGAGTAAAAAAAGCGTCGTTTAACGTCTGGTTGAGGTGATAAAATTTTTGGTGAAATTTCTTAATGAAACAGGAAAGAACTGAATCAATTACTTTGTCATCATTCCATTTTAAGCTCTTAGTAGAGGGACCGTACGAAGCTTGCTGAGTGACTGGGCTGCAGATTACAGGACAAATGAAGTGTAAAGACTGAAACAACAAACGAATTACATACAACTGAGCATGGACGTTTTCTAGGGAGCCGCGGTGATCAGAATTAAGTTTTGTCTATTATGCTGCAGCTCAGTAGAAGGGTTTAGCGACTGGTACGGTTTTGAGAGACCAAAAAGCCAATAATAAAGCTGTCGATCAGCTGTAGAAGTAACCTATTCATGAATGGCAAAAATTTTATCGCTTACTGACGACAGGTAATTGTGGATAATTGTGGTTTCTTTATTGGAAGCTTGGTGAGGATTATATTTAGTAGTGCAAATGTTTGTTTTGAGGAACAGAATTGAAAATCATCTAAAAGCAAAATTAGATGATGTTCTGAGGGAAAGCAACTTTAACAGCTCAGGACGAAAAAGCTGTAGACAGTCATAGTATTGCTTACATTAATTTTTACCACTAATACGACAAAAATTTAGCAAAATTTTAATTTATTGTAAACGTAGTTTAAAACTGTTAATTTTTTCAAATCTTTACCAAGTCTCTTTTACTTGTCTTGCTTTTCAGAAACTGTGCGTTGGAGAACAAAGTTGATACATAATTTTGAAGCAGGCATTAGTTCATCTTTACTAGAAGACAAAATGGATAATATTACGAACAGAAAACAACAGTTTCAGGTATCAAGTTCGACAATTCTATATGTAGTAAGGATTGCTTTGATTTCTATGCTTCTCGAGCTGCCTAATACAATAGTAAATAGATCTAATGTTGCTTTGATCTAATTTTATTCCAAAATAGTTGATATTGAGGCGTTGGAATAAAACTTTAATTGTGTTTCAAAATCAGTAATTTAATTTACATGTAAACAAATTATGCTATATTTTCATGCGTCATATAATGTTATATGATGCAATCTGATTGTATCGCTGATAAGTTACTAATTAAAAGAAAAATTTTATTTATTTACCACCTTCTGTCTACTGATAACTTTTTTACAGCTACCCAAATTATGGCACCTCAAAATTCTGATAGTTTAAGGTCAGCAGCCGTTGCACGTGACAGAGAAAGCCGATAAACTTTACCTATGGTAAAGTTGGGTTTTTATAAATGGTAAGAAAAGGAGGAAAGGGTTGGGAAAAGTAAGAATACTGTAAGGGTGTTTATGTATGCAATGCTGTATTTATAGTTCAGTTTCAAATCTGCAGCTTTAGTCGACAGACAATAGAAATTTGAAAGATGCTTTTTGGACAAGTCTATATTTTTCGGCTTTAGAAAAGTACAAAAGAGAAAATTTTTCTTTTGTTACAAAATCTTTGAAATATTAAACGTTTTTACCTTCTTCTTCTTCTCTGTATTATTATAAGCATTTCAGCTTTGTGAATGGTAAACCTCTGATTGGTGTAAATTGAATACAAAATTTTAAATTGCTTAAATAAATGAAAAATCAAAGTAGAAAATTCCAAATTTTTTTTCTTTTGTTTATATGTATAAGTTGTCGAGCAGTTCTGAGTAATAAACTTCTATTTATTAAGTAGACTACTTTTTACGTTTTTTTAATTTGTACTTAAATTATACTGTTAGTGTAATTTGTATTATTCTAAGAAACATTTGTTTGTTTTCCCAGTAAACTTGTGAACTTTTTTGCTCTATTTGGTTTTTTCAATTTCTTATGCTCTTAAGAGTACAAAAAAGTTGATTCTTGACGTACTCTTAAATTACTTTCAATTACTTACCTTAAAACGAAAGTTTTCTGTTGATACTTTGGTGAACACTTTGCAACTGTTGTGACTATAACTTTTTTTTGGTTGAATAGGAACGAATTTATTAAGAACTACTACCAAAAAAATTTTCTACGGTTTAGTGTAAATTACTAAACTACTGTTCTTTCCCATTTTTTCGTCACTTACTCTTTGAAGTTACTTCTTATTCCAAATTTTCTGTATTTTAAACAAAAGAAGAGACCGGGAAAAAAATAAAAAAATATTCGGCAAATGTGTTCTAATTTTGCTTTATTGTTACAGAATGTTATTGGTTATTTATGCTTTTGGTTACTGTATGATGTAATAAATATACTAATATTTAGGAAATACAAATTTGATCATTTAGGTTAAGTATGAAACTTCCACCTGTTCAGTATCTGCTTGTTCTTGCCGTAAGCGCTGGGATGTTTATTAGTGGAGTTTCCGTTCTCGGATATGGTCTTTACAAATGGAAACGTATGAACTTTTTCACCCTCGTAGTAACCATGTCAAATTAAAGACTTGGATTTACTATCCAGTGTTCATCAATACTTTGCTCAAAGACAAAATTTTTAGTGTCTGTTTTATTAAGACAGGAAATATTTGAACATTTTTAAAAGATTATTTCTATTGTCTAACAAATTTATTTCGATTTTTTCACTTAGGAAATGGCGTTTTTAGACCATCCAACAGGGCCGCCACACGGAATTCCCACTGGAAGGCCTCATGGTGGAGGTACAACTACCGGTGGACCTTCTGTTGCTGGTACATTTTGAATTTTTGTCCAAACTACAAAATTTTTGGAAAATTTTGAATTTTTAGGCACATGTGATCTAAAGAATAAAGCAACAGTTACGATATTTTTGGTCGATGTCGCTGATAACAGTCCATCTGACTTGAATGAAAAGTTAAAAAATGTAAATCACTGCTCTACTACCAAATTGATACACCATAAATCACTTTAGCAATAACAGTTTACATCTAATGATAACTTGGTTTGAAGAAGATAAAAAAATACTTCATGAAATAAATTAATGAATATTTTAAGGTAAGAGCATTTTTGCTGTCATTTGTCCCTCTTTTGAATTTGCAAGAAGGATGGACTAAATCAAAATTGGGTATTGCTGTTTATTATGGTAATATTGCTTATATGCTCAACAATCAATTATGTTCATCAAACGCTTGTTGGAATCAAACCATAAATAGTCTTTCTGAGAGTAATATTAATCCGTATCGGATAACTGTTCATAATTTCACAAGGTTTGCAGAAAGTTTTAATAATGTAGACGTCAAAGTCAAATGTATGATGTTGTTGTCTAGATCTTTTGATAGGGGATAATAAAAGTGTTATGGCAAAGTATTGTACGCTTTTAGTAGATCTGCTCTGTTGCTTTGGTTTTTTATTTAGTACTTGTTTTTCAGAGGAATAGAGTTTGTGCACGATGAGTTTTCGGCGATTGACGGACAGTTAGGATATGGCGTTGCACGAAAATTAGTTGTTATTGCAAATGGATAGTAAGTTTCGTTTTTTTTTTTTTTTTTTTTTTTTTTTTTTTTT